GTCAAGGACGCAGGAATGGGCAGGAGTGGGGAAAATGTAAGATCCGAAGTATGTCAGGAATGTTCGCCACCCTTGATTTAGGCAAGGGATGTGAGGCTTTGTGTAAATGTCATGGGAACAAAAGCCTGCCCGCTACATTAAAAGTTTACTCGACAGTGAATTTGTATGTCCAGAAAAATGTGTCTATAATCCCATAAGGGGCTTAGAGGGGAATGGAACCTATCTGCAATATAAATGCAGATTACCTTTATTACAAAATTGGATCATATTCTCATTCCTAGACTAATTTCCTATATCATAAAACCTATATTCAATTTTATAAATAGCATACACCAAGAATCATAAATTCAGTTAATGCAGAAATTTAACAGATTTTTTTTTAATAAAAGTGAGAAAAGGCTGATTTCGAGCAAGTATCTGAAAGGACAGAAAGGGCTCTTTCTTTGAAGATATGTTTTTCCCTCTGACTCTACCTCCTTGGGGATATAACTAGAGAAGAAATAAATTTCACAGCTAATATATATGAAGTAACATGTTTAACATTATCCAATGAATTTATATCTACCTACACCATATAAATTTATCTCACATAAACTGTCATCTCCAACAGGATTCATTAAAACAATGTTATAGCTTCTGAATTAAATGCAACTTTCTAATTGGAATTTAATCTTACAATAGTAGTGGGTTTTATTTTCTAATTGACAAACGGAATAATTCATTACTTTGTCTCACAGTTCTGTCTGAAGAATTAGAAAGTAAATGTGACCTAGGTGTTGGCTGGCCACTTCTGTGCAGTACACGGGGGCTGGGGAGGGAGGCGGGCAGTGGAGTTTCCTTCATCACCCTCAGAACTCCTTGGGCTGCTTATGGACAGGAAAAGGATGGACACTCTCACTCTCACCGTCCTGAATGACTAGATTACTAATATATTCCATTACTGCCACGTAAATGTCATGTTAATTTCTGATCTTCATCAAGCCAGACAATGGTTTCCACCTTGGCCCCTGGCCAATTAGCTGTGTGGAAAATATTCAGCCAATTACGTTACTTCTATTAGGTTAGGGACTGGAGAGAAAGGCAAAATAAACGCCTCGAAAATACTTGGGAGATAAAATGTAAGTTGACACTGTCTTCGCATGCTGGAACCCAGTTATACAATCTGATAGGCAGCTGTCAGCACTCATAACCACTTATTAAATCTAGCCTCTCTTTATGGCATGAGTGAAGATCTGTATTTTTACCAATATTAGGTTCATCGTGTTATGAAAGAGACCAAAATACTTAAGATCATTCGCTCCAGCTTATAAAACATATTATGTAGTTTATTAAATTGTTAAAATTACTTTTCCAAACTCAGAATTTCAGGGCCTGGAAGTTGAAGCACAACAAAGTGGCTCTGCCCACTGACAGGTTCCAGCACAAGACAGCTCAGGAGGGGAGCCCATCAGACAGCTTTCCAGTCCCAAAACACCTGCTACCTGCCCCCACCTCTTCCTGGAAGCTGCACCACCACTACCGCACCCCAAAACCCATGACAAAAAAAAAAAAAAACGCACTCAAATTTTATACAAAAGCAAGGAACTCCCAGCCAAAACGTAGCCCATTCTCAAGTCGTAAGAAGTGGGAAGAAATATTTCCTATGGTTTTCCCTTATCCGAGAAGGTTAAAAGCTAGGAATTTCATTATGACAGAGATCAAACAAGGAACTGTGGGTCAAGAAGGAAAAACAATCGATGACAAAACAATGTCACATGGTGCTGCATTCTTACACCGGATCCTCCAGCAGAAGATAGCTTACTGATAGGGAGTGGGCAATGCCAAGATAGAGATTGAATAACAAGCCAGCAATGTGCCATCCCTACTCCACTCTTCTCAGGAAAACTCTATATGCAAATCCAGACTGTTATTATCACATTTATTAATAACACTGTGGCTAACTGCCTATTAAATATGCAGCAGACTTAACCACTCTCCACTCCGGGAGCCTCGTGATGTGCATCAGATAGGTATCCATACCAACTTCAGCTTCACGCCAGGGAAACAGGAGCCAACTCTGATTCCCTGCTGGCGAACAGTGGCATTAAAGAACCGTCCTAAAGAGAGACCTCAAGTGCTCAGCCTGTCTTTCCTCTGTTATCTTGCATCTAAAGTAATTTACTAAGCAGGCACGATTATCACCAACATAAATTGAATATATTACCCATTTTCTGGCTTTAAGAATTTGCCACAATGATCTATTTGTCCAAACCTTTCCTCATATGAGTTCACTTGCCTTGCATGTGAGGGCAGCAATGTACTGTTCTGGTTGCCTGGCCCCCATGACTGTGACTCTGTCTACCATGAGGACACTCAGCGTGAAACACTGCACACAGAATTAGAGTTTATTCCAAGCCTGAAGACTTCAAATTATCAGTGGTAACCATCAATGGGCGCTTCTTTTGGTTACTTGAAAAACTGTAAGGTTCTAAAAGCCACAGGGCTGTGACTATATTTTTGACAATGAAAGGACTAACTAAATGCCAGATACATAATACACAGGAAGTCGGGTTATTGCATCACAGAGGAAGAGAATTAGCCCTCTGGGCAAATCTTGGAGGTGTACTTTGAGGAAGAAGAGGGTTGAAAATCAAAACACATGCTCCAGCTCATCAGAGCTCAGGGACTTCCACTTCCTACGAAAAATATAGTGAAGGGACGTTTACTACCATCTGATAAATACAAAAACACTTCCTTAATATAAAAACCTGGTATTCGACAAGACCATCTTATCAATTCAAAAGAGAGATCATTTTCATTATAGTTCTTGAGTATGATTTCTCATATAGCCTCACACAACAAAATTAATGAATAAAATGAACCCTATCTTTAATAAATCCATTCATGTGGTTTTGTTAAACTTCATACATCAATTTTATGACCATGAGATTGAGTCAGGCTTTCTCAATACTGGAGACAGAGATGACAGGTAATCTCATGTCTGAGTTTGTTACTATTTCAGTAACTTCAGAATTCCCACCACTTCTATTAATTCTCCTGTGTATCTGAGGCAGGCCCAGGCTTTTGTCTCAACTCAACCCAGATCTGCAAAGATATAACGTTTCATAATGCTTGCTACCTGCTCACTGACCAACAGACCAACCGCAGAAGTCTATCATAGCTGTGTAGCAGTGGAAAACCCTCGAAGCAACTTCACAGGCAAGAAGTCAAAGTACTTCCCAACAGCATCCAAGAAATATGAGGGAGGATCTTTATCAGCTCTAAATTCATGCCTCTGTTAACCATTTCATTTTGGTGTGGACATCCTTGCCTCCTGTGTTACTATTTACTATTTGCCTTATTTCTTGCCAAAAGGAATAATGTCAGGAAGATAGAAGACTTCGTGTTTCCTCTATCTGAAGCTTCAGCAGAATGGAGTAACAAAACAGCCCAAGCAGAAGCAAATTTTAGAGCTCACAGGTTCTTTGTGGATCAACTAGTCAATACTAACTGTTTTAAGTGCTTCACTAGGGCTCCTTTTTTTTTTTAACTTATGACATGGGAAGGTCAAATTGGTCTCTAACTATAAAAATCTTTGGGGTATATGGCTCAACCTGATGTTAGCTCAGGTCTTGATCTCATGGTCCTGAGTCAAGCCGTACACTGGAACCCAGAGTACAGCCCACTTTAAAAAATAGATAAAATAAAATCTTTTCGAATCTGTCCCAATAACTAAATGCATAACAATTTCTTAAGAAGACACTTATCAGAGAACTTTTACGCAGCTGCACAGGCTAGATGTCTCAACCTCTATTAACAGAAAAACTAGAAAAAAGATCCTTAAGGACAAAAGAAGTAGGCTCCAGGCCCAACCAGGCCAAGCACTTAGACATCTCAGTTAGACTCTGTGGGCTTCGGCTGCTCCATCTATTAAATGTGGGCATTGAAACGGACGATTTCTAGGGCCTTGTCAGCACTGACAAACAGGGTACTCTAACCCACCTGCTTCGTTGTAAATGTAGGAAATCACAACAGAGACTAACCCACCCCATGTCAGGTAACTATTGGACCTCCCAATACCAACATAATGTTCTTCCTCCCTCACTACCCTTCCCTCCATAAAAGGAATGTTTTGAATGCAATCATACTAAGACAAAGGACATGGAGTTTATGCCAATGGTTCTCTCATCATTAAGTGCCACTGAATGCAAAACCTGAAATGAAATGGCTCCCCTCAAAAGTGACCTCGTCCTACGACAAAGCCACCACTGAATGATGTCAGACTTTTTATCTGGAACACCTGGCCTCGACCAATTACTTCCTCTGATACAGGCAAGTCACAATTGCTTGCTCGTTGCTGTGAGAGAGACGCCAATTGCCGAAGAACGTGGCAGATGCTATCAAATACAGAAAACACGTGTGAGAGAGAAAGATCATCACGTCCCTCCCGCCCTCCCCTAACGATTACAATGAGTAACTTGCTGAGGTGAACAATGACTGAGAAAAATGCTCATAAGTCTTTCTGAAAATCTTTGAAGCCCACAGCAGTTTTCTCAAGAACCCTCTTCATGGGGAAAGCTGGGGATGAGACCTTCTTAGTGAACAAATCAGACCTAAATTCCCTCTGAAACTCAAGATGAGATCATTATACTTGTAGTCCATGGTGATTCATTGTTTGCTGAGTGATTATAAGACCAAAAAAACAATTATTCTTTCAGTTATGCGCGTGGATCATAGGAATTAAAAAAAAAATGCACATGAACAAACAAACAAAAGTTCTCCCGTGTCCTGTGGTGCCTTTCACAAATCCTCAGATCATTCCAGGAGTTATCCGAGAGCATTACGGCAGAAAACAACAGCGGAGCTGCTTTCTTCTTTCAAGATGAGAATCTCACACCCTCAGTGTGCCATTGTTCTGATGAACTTAGGTCTTCTGTCGGTTTCCTGCACTGTGTGTGACCCCTTCAGCCACGTTTCTGTCTTGTGAATTTTCAGACAAATACTCATAAACATGCACTTACCTTTTTGGCCAGCAAGCATCACATCCACCCGTTCATGGTTGACAGCAAATCAGAGAAGGGATCGAAGCCCTCACCATCGCCCAAATGTGGTTTTTTTTTTTTTTTTTTGGAAACTGGAATTGTCAGCAAAAGGTCCTGGGACACTGCAATACAAAAATATTTTTACACATAACTAAGATGTAGCTTCTAAAACCACCACTTCCTTAAACTTGAAAACAGCAAAGCAGACATAGAATCTAGAGGTAGGGGAAAACACCTTTAAAATGAGGGTATATCAATATATCAAATGTGATGCTATCAAATATGAACCGGAAATACTGTTTTGAAAGATGCGTTTACCAATGACTTCAACATATACACCAAAAGATTGCTGTTTACTGCAGATCTTGAGCCAAGTATTTTACTTACTTTTTTTTTAAGATTTTATTTATTTATTTGACAGAGATCACAAGTAGGCAGAGAGGCAGGCAGAGAGAGAGAGGAAGAAGCAGGCTCCCTGCTGAGCAGAGAGCGGGATGGATGCAGGGCTCGATCCCAGGACCCTGGGATCATGACCTGAGCTGAAGGCAGAGGCTTTAACCCACTGAGCCACCCAGGCACCCCTTTTACTTACTTTAGCATTAAAAAAATACCAGGTCTCATTATAGAGTGCTCAGGTCACAAGAAGGTGTTTTTAACTCAAATATTACGTGGATAAGTATACCATTTCCTAGTAAGTATCTTTTCCAGAGGATGAAAATATATGAAAATTTAAACAATACTACCTTAAAATTCTTTTTAAGCAATCATGAACCTCATTTCTCCTCCAAAATATTTCTAAAAATGTCTATGAGTTACTTAAGGAGCAAGACTCAGGGAGATATTTCCCCCAAGAGGGAACATACCATGTCATGGGCAGGTGGTCCAAGTGAAAAAGCCTGAATGCTGGACCTGATCTCATCATCAGCTGTGTGGACCCAGGAAAGCTACTGAATATCTCAGGATTCCAGCTATTTCATGGACAAGGTCAGGGCAGTAACTCATGTTCCCCAAGTCCCTTCCACCGCTTAGCTTTGTTCAGGGTTTTCGATAAAGAATACTTATTCCAAATAAGCTAAACTATTTGCTTCTCCTTTAAAAATTCCTAATCAAAAAGATTTTTATCACGTACCATTCTTATGTCAATCTGCCATCAACGCTGAAGATGTGCTACAGGCAGAAGGCTTTGCACATGCACAGAAGAATTCTCACCCTGGCACCAGCGCCAGACCCTGGTGAGCTGCCCCCCCCTCGGTGGCTGACAGCACCCCTTGGGTGCCCACGGAAGGCTTCCATTTCTCTCCACAAAGGACAGCTCCAACTACTGTGGCCGTCTGCCCAAACGTATCAGCACCTGAGTGTTTCTCAAACATTTGTGTGTACAAGCATAACTTGGAGTCACCCAGCAAAAAAGAAACGGGCTGAGACTGTTTACCATCTTGAGGATAAAAACCAAACTCCTCTCTGTGGCCTACAAGGCCCTGCAAATTGGTCACTTTCTACTTCTCTGCCACTTCCAGCCACCAACCCAATCCCCAACTACAAGTTACAGTGGCCTCCCTTCTCCCTTCCATTTCAAGCAAGCTGTGTTCTTCTGTCCCAGGGCTGGAGTACAAGCTTCTCCCACTACCTGAAATGCCCTGAGCTCACTCCTTACACAAATGGCTCTTCTCTTCACTGGGTCTTAGGGGCAAAGGCCACTTCAAGATGGCTGTCCTACCTACCTACTTAGGCTAGATCCCTGGTTACTCTCCGTGAAATCATCCTATTTGCTTTCTCCGGAGCTTTGGTCGTAATCTATAAATTTTCTCATTTATTCACTGGTCTTCCCCACCTGAATCTAAGCCCCATAAGATAAGGGGACTTCTCTGTTTTATTCTCTCACTCTACTCCAAAACTTGAGAAAAATGCCTGGTTCATGCCAGGCACTCCAGACAGATCCACCAGATCAACAAATGAATCAACAATTGAAAAGAATTCATTCTTCAGCGGCCTACAAAAATGCAATTGCTAGGGACTAAAAACCCACTATGTGCTGGATATGGTTTTAAGTATTTTACCACAGTTCTTTCATTTACTTCTATTCTTACAGCAAAGTTCCTGGTAGACAATGTTATAAGCTTAATAAGCAGGTAAGAAAACGCAGGCATAGTCTTAGTAACTTGGCCAAGATCACACAGTAGCAGGGCTTTGACTCCACAAAGTGGGCGCTCATGAGCACTCTGTATTTTTCCAGCCAATACAATAAGAGAAACATTTTGAGTGCCTACCTTGTGCTCGACACCCTTCTGACTCAAGCTCGCTGGAGGGTCTTGTAGAAAATACTCAGCCTCCCTGACCCTGAGCTTCCTGCTTCACACAGGGAAAGCTGAGGTCCCCGCACAATGACCACACAGACAATGCAAGTGAACAAAATGTACCAGGCGTAAGGAATAGGGGGCAAGGCACAAGGACGAAAATTGGAAAAATTTTTCATCTTAAAGAGGGCAGCCAGTGCCCGCCACAATCCAAGTGTTGCCAGAGCGGAAAAGAAGTCCAGGCTTCACGAGCTTTCAACTGTATGAAGGAAGGCAGTGATCTAGGTTACTGTTTTGTGAAATTTCATCATTTTTCAAAGATAGCAGCAAATCTTTTAACAGCACCCATGAAAAAGGAAAGGAAAGGAAAAGGGAAGGGGAAAGAAGGAAAGGAAAGGGAAAGGAAGGGAAGGGAAAGGCAGGAAAGGAGAAAGGAAAGAGACAGAGAAAGGAGAGAAAGAACGAACCTACAAGTCCTGTGCCAAATGACTGCCGAAGTCATGCCACGCCTGTGAGTCTAGAAGGATTCTGAAGCGCAGAGAAGCTGTACAGCTGAACACAGAAAAACAGAGTAGGTATCTAGACAAGTAAGGGTATTCCAGAGGAATTATCTTGAGCAAGTTTTAGAAGGAACTGGAAGATGCGGTGGAAAAGGCATTTCACAAACCAGAATGTCAAATTCAGAGGCCTGGAGGTGGGGAGGAGAAGGCAAGTCACCCCAAGAAACAGCAGGGAGGAGGGAGGGCTAAAGGGAGAGTTCGTGGAGCTTTTCTTTTCATTTTTGCTTGAAGAAGTTACAGGTTCCCATCTAAGACACAGGCTGGGCAAACAGTGCTCTAAGGGTATACTCATTAGTGCTGTCTTGCTTGATATCCTAAAACATGGAAGTTACCAGGCACAGGTGAGAATAAAAAACCATGGGGCCCCTGAGTGGCTCAGTCGGTTAGGCATCCAACTCTTGATCTCGGCTCAGGTACTCATCTCACAGGTTGTGAGTTTGGGCCCCATGCTAGGTGTGAAGCCCACTTTAAAAAAAAAAAAAAAATGAATACTAAAAACTGGGTCACCTGGGTGGCTCAGTGGGTTAAGCCTCCGCCTTTAGCTCAGGTCATGATCTCAGGGTCCTGGGTTCGAGCCCCACATTGGGCTCTCTGCTCAGTGGGGAGCCTGCTTTCCTTCCTCTCTCTCTGCCTGCCTCTCTGCCTACTTGTGATCTCTCTCTCTCTCTCTGTCAAATAAATAAATAAAATCTTTTTTAAAATAATAAAAATAAAATAAATTAAAAACTAAAAATAAAAACAAAAACAAAAAAAACAACTACCATTACAGTTTGTGGAACAATTTTGGGGATTTTTTTGTATATGTTTTAAGGGTCCAAGAGACCCAGAACTGAATTCTATCTCCATCAAGCTCTACAACTCTAACCAAACTACTATATAAATAATACATACTATAATTCTTATATGTATCTGCTGTACATATCTATAAAATACATATACCATAAAAATACACATACACTAGAATTCATACATTTATGTAATATATATATATACCTTTAAATACTATAAAATACGAGCTCTATAGATCTAACCAAAATACTATATAAACAAGATATACTATAGTTTTTATATGTATTTAGAATATATATCCTATTAAGTACATTCTACATACACACATACACACTATATACAATACATATATATACACATACATATATGATACAAGCTCTGTAACTCTAACCAAACTCCAAACTCCAGAAACTAGAAAATATAGCCACTGAAATTTAAAAAAATCTAAAAATTAAAAAAAAAAGAAAAAAGAAAAACAGAAGAGAAGACAGATATCCAAATAAATTACCCAGAAAACTACCCAGAGGCAAAAACAGTCTACCTAGAATTGTATACCCAGAAAAAAAAGATACCTTTCAAAAACGAGGATGAAATAAAGATCTTTTCAGACAAACAGAAGTTCATCACCTCTCTACAGGGACCTTCAGAAAGATGTATTTCAGGCCAAAAGAAAATGACTTCTCTGACTTAAGAAGAAAGGGGGAGCCAAAATAACGAACCCATGAGTCAATGAAAAATAAATGCATCAAAATGATGAGCGTGTCTCAAAAACAAAAATAACATTTCTTACATAAAAATAAACTTAAACGTCTGGCAGCACATCACCTGTCCCCTAGCCCAGGTCCTTATTTACACGGAGACACTCCCCACCACCAAGGCCTTGCTCTGCAAACCTGAGTGTGCCATCCAGGGACATGGGCTTGAAATGCATATTCCTGCCACCACGCCCAGTCCAAAGAGTCAGGGCCCAGGAATCTGCATTTCGGCCAGATGCCCCCTAGGTATCAGGATGAGGTGGGGTCCTTGCCACGCTCTCCACCCCCTCAGGGCCAAGAATTCAGGGAGCGGGGGGCTCAGCTCCAAGAGGTCCCAGGACTTTGCTGTCTTCCCTTTTGCTGCTGCCCCAGAAGAGCACCCTGGCTCCAGGGTCAGTAGCAGCCCTGCCTCAACCCCACTAATCAGGAGCTGCAATAAATTAAAAGCCCATTACATTATTTTAGAGAAAAGCCTAGAAGTGCTGAAATATTAATTGTGCCATATTCAATCTGTTTTCCTAGAGATTCGAAAAACCAGATTACCATCTTGGGGGTCATTAGAAAGAATGAAGCTTTGCTCCCTTTCCATTTACATATTTAAAAATGCATATATTCTTGCCGTGGCTGTGACCCAGACTCCCCAGATCCTGCGACCACACCACAATCTAACCATGCTGAAAGAGGCCAGGCACACCACGGGGTCCTGCCTTGTTTTTTTTGTTTT